GCGACAGCCTGGAATGTGTCAGAGGGGATTAGGGATGGAGGTCAAAGGTGGCCGCAGAATGCCCCACCAGCTGACAGTTCCAGAGCGAAGGTCTCCATCAGGCAGCCCCACGAGATGCCCAAAAGACAGTGGGCTCTGCAGCCTCGCCTGTGACTGCCGCAGCAGATGGGGAGGCCCTGGCAGCCGATTCCCAAATGTGCTTAGTGTGTTTGCCTGAGGGCATAAGCACATTTATATCAGAGGCTTTTTTTTTTTTTTTTTGGAGGAAGGAGGGCTATCAGGTGCTCTGAATTAACTAGACCTATTTACACTTTCAAACTGTGAAGCAAGGCTTCTCATGGGAAAACCTAGTGTCTTTCGTTTGCATTTTTAAAAGTTACTGATGTTTTCAAATACGGATCATCTCATCTTCTACAACCTAAACTGCTTATAAGAAAAAAAAAATGTTGGTGGAGGAGGAGATGGAATTTTTGGCAAATTCCGAGGACAACAAATGGTGAGTACTTAGATTTGAACGCTATCATAGCAACCTGTCTACATTTGGCTACTTTTCAACCATTTATCTTCATCAACTTCCTGTTTGCACTGAGGTGGAAACGCTTCCTTCCTTCCCTCCAGCATCTATAGGCATTGCAATTCCCTCCTCCTCACTCAGATGCTCCAGACTGTAGGAAAATATTCCTTTCCATGTTAATGCTTATGCTTGGTGGGCTTCTTTTTAATTTTAGGGAGGGATGAGCATTTTCCAAAGTGACAAAGTAAAGCCAGCACAACAGCAAAACAGAAGTAGGAGTGTAACTCCTCACACAGGATGCCTTAACCCTGAAACAGACTGTGTGGCGCTTGAACCTCACACAGATTCTAAATTACTGGTGCATGCACAGACAAAATGTCAGGGTCTGCCCTTCCTTTTCAATTCGGTTTTCTTACAGTTGCAACCATTTCTGAAGATTTTTGCGTCCATGGTTTGTGTTTTCTTAGAATGCATATTTTTTGATTTGTTTGTTTTGCTGCTTTGTAACAAAGAAGGAAGAAAAAGCAAACACTAAATCTGGCAATTAACTATTGGACGCCTATTAATTGTTAAGCGTTATGTAAATGTTATCTAATTTGTCTGACTTCAGTCTTCAGTACTACAATACAGATGAGTTGTGTAGAATGTTTCATGGGACAAATTAATTATAAAATACAGTATAGAACAATTATGAGTTTGCAAGGAACCTCTCTCTATATGTGGAACATATATGTGTGTATTTTTAAAATTTTCCAAGTGTATATAACTTTACAAATTTATATGGGGCGTGTTTTTTACCCTCGATTTGCCAGGTATTTGGCTTAATGATCACCTGGTTTAAGGGTTAAAGTAGAACATAGAAATTTTCCTTCGAGCAATTACTTTTATAGAGAAAAAAATATGTGGTGCATTATGAACAGGGTTCTAGTGTCAACTTAGTTCCTAACTCACTGTGTAGCCTCAGAGAGATTCCTTAATCCATCTGGGCTGCATGTTCATCATGTATAAAATAAGTATAAATTATGTAATCTAATTCAAGATCCCTTCATGAACCAATGGCCTCAAGTTAAAAGTCTCAAAATCTCAAGTCATGAATTTGTTGTTTATTGTTAGATGTAGCTAGAGTCTAAAGGAAGGATCACAACTATAGCATTTGTGGAAGTGAGAAAATGAAAGCAAGGAATAGAGAAGGGGAACTAAACTGTATGAACACTCAAACTTTGATTAATGTGCCATGTGCTTACATCATAATATTCTTTCCTAATTCTCACAATGTCTCACTTTTTATAAATTTCTTACACACAATGATACTGAAATTTATGGAATTTAGGTTAATAATCACACAAAGAGTTTGTAGGCAACTGGGATTCAAATGCCCATGTTATTGGCCCTACAACAACCATCATGTGATTATTAGCCCTTGCCATTTTCATAATCATTGGAAAAGTACTATGTTAGTGAGACTTGGCCTCTGTTTAATATTTAGCAGAGCTGAAAAAGAATCATGTTATCAATATCTGTTTATACATGCCTTGTATTGTTGGAATATGACAGAAACGATTTCAATGATAACTCAGATAAAATAGTAATTATTTTTGGAAAAATGAATATGAGTAGGTAATGGGTTTGGAGAAAAAGAAAAACCACTAGTAGAAGAAAGCATTCCAAAGGACAGAAAATATCACCTTATGCCTTGGCTGTGGAGTAAATATTTCTATGAATTCTCTAGCCCTGTGGAGATGGTTACAGAGTTCTTTTTCTCACTTTGGCGTCTTTTCTTTCTCATTCTGCCAAACTCCAACATAGTAATTAAGCCCACAGAGCCCTTCAGTGTGTTACGAATGCGCCCCCTCTGATAGAGAGTAGAGCGCTTTGCATACCTGGGAGCCAGTGGTTCATAATTCAAGGAAACATATCTCTGCTGTGTTGTCTTGTGATGGGCACAGACAGGAGTCTCCATCCCTTTTATTTTATGTGTGCTGGCACAACATAAGCCCCGGCGTATGATGGATTATGTTACATATATCAAATTATGAAATGCACAATTCTTTTTAAATTTCTCTAAAGGGTGCCCTCTTATTTTTTATGCATTCTAGGGCTATGCTAGATATATTATAAATTTTATCATTTGAAATTCAAATGATTATCATCAGAAAGCCGCTGACTTGTAAAAACAGGAAATCTAGCATGTATCAGAATCTGGATGCAATGCATGATTTGCTGAACTTTTGATAATTTTAATACATTACTGAATTAGGTTTGTAGTTTTACAAATACACTTTAAAAATGTTCAAATGGTTACAGCAATGAATAACACGTTTTTTGGACTTTTGCCCTACTTGGGAAATAAATTTCAGCTGACAAGCAAGTTTGAGACATAGAGCCACTCACCAATAAACGATAAAATTCAATTATTTAAATTTTTGCAAGATCCACTGGAAAAGTAACTTAAACTCTTATTTCAAATCTGGCTCTTACTGTTTTTCAATATTCAAAACATTCTATTGACCAGCATTTTTTTTTCCTGAAAAATCTATAAAATTAAATCTAAATTTTATGTAAAATAGGTCAGATTTATAGAATTTTGCAGGATCTCATTGAAACAATTAGAAATTGAAATTGGAAAAAAGACCCAGGATTCCAATGCAAACTGAGATTGAAATGCATGTCAAAGACTATTTAATATTTTGCTGACATCTGCACCATCCATTGATTCTACTTATGTAAATATGGATCAACTGGATCATCATACAAAATTGAGTTGAATCTATTTGTTCCCTCTCATCTAGATGTGTAAGCAGTTTGCTAGGTTACGGTACCACTTTTAAATGTAGATGACTCAAGATCTCAGATTGACTAACTCCCTCTTCACCCCAATTTAAATTTTCCCCAGGTTTTCATAGAAACAATGGGCAAATTCAGCAAATCAGGATTAGGAGCCACTATTTTTCTCTTTGTCTAGAGACTTGCATTTACTAGGGAAATGCTAACATCTGCATCATTGAACAGATATCTCATCCCTTTAAATCTTAATTGATGTATATCTTTTATCACTGATATTACTATCACAAGACAAACCCCTACACAGCATTCCTTTGTGCAAAAAACATTTGTAAGAAGTAGAGTTACTTCGATACTCACCATGATCCTTAGATGCACAAGTATTTAGCATTCATAAAGAGTATCTTTCTAATCCCATGTTTATAATTTTGATGCATCTAATAATAATAAGCAAGTGAACAATGAAGAAACATTTCTCTAAATTAGGTGGAAGGTTATATTACATCAGCTGGACAAAGAATACCACAATCAAAGGCAAGGGTTATTTAATGTATTATTTAACATAATGGGATATTAGATTTATTTAAATAAGTTCAAAAAAGTTGTTGACACAGCCCTTAACACAAATGGCAGAAGTTAATAAGGCCTTTGCACCCACTTTCCTACTTAATCCTCTCAAAAAGTCTGTGAGGTAAGCAAGAAACCATTATTTAACAACATTATGCAGTGGAAAAGATTTGGTCCAGGAACTTCCTCAAACTCACATTTAGCAAATGAAAACAGAGGCTGCCCATTTAATATTTGAATTTTAGCTAAACAATACACAATAATTTCATGTAAGCATGCCCTGTGCCATATTGGTATGTTGTTATAATTAAAACAAACAAAAATGTCCAATATTTATCTGAGATTCAAATCTAACTGGGATTCCTGTATTTCATCAGGCAGCCCCACACAGAGTTAAAGTAGAGGTGTAGGATTCAGAAGTATATCTTTTGATTTCATTTGCTTTAATATCAAGATCCAAACTGTTGTCTCCGCAAAATGTACCTTGATGAGAAACATGAGCATGAGACAGAAGACAGTATTGTTTAGTGATTGAGATTGTGGCCTGCGAGTCTGACTACTTGTCAAGTCTGCACCCTCCTGATTTTACATTGTGTGCCTTTGGCAAGTTATTTAGCTCCTCTAAGCCTTAGATGTTTCATATATAAAATAGACATAAAGACAATACTTTTAGTTCAGATTATCTCTTACAATCCTTGCAACAACCCTAAAGGCAAAGTAGCTGATACATGATGAACACTTATGATTATTGCTATCTTTGCCTTTATGGAGCAAGGATTATGCTTTTTCTGAAACTTCTGTGTTAAATTCACTCTGAACACTTTATTTATTTACTTATGTCTTTCTTTCTTTTTTCATTCTCTCTCTCCTCTCTTTCTCTCTTACATCCCTCTCCCTCTCTCTTTCCTTTCACTTTATTATCTATTTCTCCTGGTTTCATTCCTTTTATTTTATTACTTTCTTTATTTTGACTTCATTTTTTCTAGTTATTATTAATATTACTCATAATAGCCACATAAATCTAGTGAACAGGGTTCTGTGTCTGGGTTCAAATGCAAGCTATTTCAGTGCCCTAAGTCTACTACTAATTATCTATGCCTGTGAGACATTTATCTAACTCCTCACCCCCATTTTGCAGACTGAAAAACTATACACATTATCTTGAAGAGCTGATGGGAGGACTGAAGATAAAGTATTCTGGACATGGTGAGTGCTCAATAAATATTGGATATTTACCAGTCCAAGAGAAGAGAAGTCCACTTTAAATGGCCTTGGATTCATAGTCCTTCCACTAAATTTTCTCAATCTTCACCACCAACACCAGTCAATCACAATACCTACCTTTGTTAGGCAGGTATTAAACAATGTATCACAAGTATCAAACACACAAAAGCAACTCACAAATGCCAGTTCCAACCCTATACACTCAAACCAAACCCAGATACTTTCTAAATCCATTCCTAGCATCCTTTGCATGAGATTACTTCCCCCTCAAAAGGTACACATGTCTATCAAGCAGGAGAAATGGCTCACATTTACAGTGTGTCAGCAAAAGATTGTGTTTTCAGTAAGCAGAGGCAAACCACAGACTATGTGTGCAGTAGAAGCCTAAGGTGTGGTGGTGACAACAATCACTCCTGCAGTCACATTCGGAAAGGAAAGCACTTGTCAAGCTCGAAATGCTAATCAGAGCTTGCTGGGAAAGTTAGTTGCTCCCAGTTGCAGCCGAAGCAGCAGGTTGTTTGAAGCAGCTGTACCATAATCTTGACTGGATTGTCTGTGCAGGAGGGATCAGAAAATGGTCAGAAATAAAACCATGGAAGTAAATGTTGCATAAATATGAGAATTACCACAATTAGTCCTAGAAAGCCCTGCATTTCCAGAAGGCATATAGGTGTGTTATTAAGGTCAGTTCCCACTTAAGAAGAAGAGATACACAAGAACGTGGGTTTCCTGGAAATATAAATTATCAGTCCATTTTGGAGACTCCAACCATGACATGAAGAGTATAATACACAAACTATGTTCCATAAACACCAGTTGAGATTTGAAAAACACTTTGATAATGATTTTCAGTAGTTTTGTTTTATTGTGTAAAATAGCTATAATTTTTTTAGCATTTTTTGAGTTTATGTAAGTTGTCTATGTGAAGCTAAAGATTTACAGTAAGTGACTAATGAATTTTTCTTTTCTTCATCTTTTGTCTCTTAAATCTCAATGATCCTCGATCCGAAAATAATTTCATTTAAATAATGCATTCTTAGGAATTTGCACTAATCCCTCCAACAACATTAATGAACCTACTTTTTTCTCCACATTTAAAGAAAAGATAAACAGCATTTATATTTCAAATGATTGTAACAAAAAATAAATGATATTCTAATGCACACGTTTAAGAATGGAAAGAATGAATATTATTCCAAGAATGATAATTTGACGTTTCTTGCTTGTTTTTATTTCAAATAAATCCTCACCTCATAACATAGGTTCCTTTTATCTGCGCAAACAATAATGTTTATTTCAAACTGCAAATTTAAGATACAAATCTGTATGAATGGATGTATCCAATATATTTCCTTTTGTGGCAGAGCTGCAGATGTGGAAAAGAGTCTTCCTGCAAGCTGGTGAAGACGACCTTGATGACATCACCTTGCCAATATACCTGCTTCCTCACATGCCTGGCGTTCTTTGTTTCAAGCAGTGGCAGCACCATGTTTCTGAGTCATTCAAACCAGTGCATAGTTACCTAGGACTACTCTCCCTTTTTCATTCCTGACATCTAATCAATCGTCAAGTTCTGCTGACTTTACTTTCCATGTATTACTGAAAACCATCGCTTTCTCTTCCCTTCTCCTATGCTACTTCAACAAGAAGGAAATAACGGTGCTGTGAACTATATGGAAAATTCTCTAATTATTTCCTCTTTCTCTGACTCTTTCATCTTTAACTCATCCTCAGGGAGCAGCCATTAGACCATTTTATGACTAAAGTTGGATAAAATCTATAACTTAGTTAAAAAAATTTGACCCACATCAAATCAGGCTCCTTAGTATGACTTGAAAAACATTACAAAATCTGGTCCCAGACTATCTCTCCAGCTTCATCTTTTACTGTTCTAAAATGAATACACACACACACATACACACACACACACACACACACACACACACACACACAAGATGCCTCTTAATGCTACAGCAAAAGTAAACTGCTTTTAGTTGCTAAATTCACCTTGCTGCCTTATTCTTTGTTTGCATTTGTTGTTTACTTTGATTAGACTGTCATTCCTTCTTTTTTCCTCTGGTAAACTTGTATTCTCACTTCAAAACCCCATTTTGATATTTCTGATAAGCATTCTATAACTGCCTATCCAACTCCAAGAGAGTGAATGTTGCTAATTATATATCTTGTAAACATTATATTACTGTTCTTCAAAGCCTACAGTGGTGTTGAATCAGCTCTAAACCAATCTTTCATACCAAAAGATGAACATCCCGGCGTCAATAGTGTATTTAGCCTGATGTGAATATTTGAATATAGTAGATAGCTAATTGTGATATAAGTATTAGGATAAACCATGGGAAATTATTAAAAGTAATAAAATATTATCAAATATTCACAATTTTATATAGCTCCACATAGTATTTGATGAACCCTCCTTTCATATAGTATACTGAGGATGTGTAATCCAGGGAAGAGAAGATATATAATTTGAGGACGTATTGGGAGGTATGTATAACATCTTATGTATTATCCTGTGGAAGAAAAAAATTGACTTATTTTAAATAAAATTAGCAAGTGAATTATTGAGGTAAATAAGTACAAGTTACCTAGAAATATAGTTTGGCAAATAATATATATATTTTAAAAATATTTTTTTAAAAATGTATTTAATAAAGTATATTTTTTCTGTGTGAACTTGAAGATTTATAGTACGTGACTAATATATATATATAAAACATATATATTTATTTGCATATATTAATATATGTTTTATATATTTTATTAAAATATATATTATTTAGAGACTGCAAAGAAAATTGATGAAATATCTAAAATTATGAGGTGTATGCATACATTTATGTGTGTGTGTGTGTGTGTATGAGTGGTTGTGTTGACATATTCAGGAAGGAGTTGGGTGGCCACATGCAAGTCATATTTAACAGGATTACTATTTTTTTATAATAAAGGATAATGAACACTATAAAATATGATTTATATTCTCTAAAATGTTTGAAACAACTGAACATGAGGAAATTGTTTCCTTTTAGAGAATTTACTTGGTTTCAAATATCATTTGGTGAGAAATTAAAAAAGGAAACTGAACCACTTTAATGGATGCCTATTACAATGGTTTCCAAGAATTTGCATGGTAATCATAAGAGACACTTCTTTGGAATGCTTACTTTATGGATTTTAAATATCAGTTATCCATATGATATATATATATATTGAAAACCACAAATAATTCTGATACACTCCAATGCATACTGATGACTTGTCTACAGAGAACTATTCAATATCAATAATATCTATGTATACATCTTTAAATATAGCTATAGCTATATACATCTATATTTGTAACTTAATCTACATATTGATGTAAATCTAGTCTTAGCATTTATATCTTTTTCATCCATGATTCAAGATACATACATCCTTGTAAACCAAACTACTGGAAAGTAGTCCAGTCCTGTCATATGGATGGGAAAATTTATTTTGCAGGGATGGTGGCCTGAGAACTATGTCCTTTTATGCCATCAAGCCATTTGGCTGCACATCCATCCATAAACTGCTTTTCAAATACTATCTCCTCCCTGTCTCCCTTCCTGAGGAGACTTTCATGCTGATCAAAATCTACCCCAAGACCTTAGCTCCTCTTACCCTGCAGGAGTGCCCATATTTGGCCAACTGCTGAAATTAATTTGCCTTTGCTTAAACCTCCAGGGGAGATGTCATACAATGAGTCACTTTTCCTGATGTCTGAGATTTTTCCAAATGTGTGGCACTGATTCAATATTTCTGAAAATGAAACATTTCTTTTGGCCATAGTTTGTAGTAAGTTTGAGCTGTGTCATTTTTTGTCAAGAGGTGCCCTCAGGTTCCTTCAGGTTCAAGAATCACTTTGAAACTGATGGGTCTTGTTTTATTTTTTATTTAATAAACACAGGGCTCCTAATATGTTTATTGCATGATGCTAGAATGGACAATAAAAAATAGATGTGCTCCATGACCTGAAGACCTATAAGGTCCTATGGGTAAAATAAGTTATTTACTAGTACTATAAGGCTTATTACCATGAACTTAGTATATAGTTGGCAGTTGATAACTGTTGAATAAATCAATGATATACTACAACAGAACAGCTATTCTACTACTATAGAAAGCCAGAGGAAGGCTTACTAGTTTTAATGTTGTGGGACAGAAAACACCACTCTTTTCCACTTCTCTAAATGTTGAAATCTGACTTACCTTCAAAGCCCATGGTAATCTGAAATGTAGGAATAAAAAATCCAAGTGAGATTTAGGTCAAGGTGGTGGACTAGAAGCAGGCTGCACATGCTACTCTCAAGGAGATAAGTGAAAGTTGTAGGTGGATGCCCACCTGTGGATGGATCCTCTTGGAGAGAGCATCGTGAATCTTCAGAGAAGTGACAGGAGACACTCAGAGTGAAGGAGATGGACAGGGAAATCAACTCGCCAAGACTGGAAGGTACTGCAGCTTGGAAGTAGTAAGGGGAAAGAGGGAATGAGGATATGATGTAGACTGTTAGGATGTGAAGTAAGAAAGATATATATGATCCACATTTTGTACAGTTTTGGGGGCCATCATAATGAGCTTAGATTTTACTTTAATATAAGGAGAAATTATGGAAGAGAAAATCATGGTCTGATTTAAGTTTCAAAATGATGGCAGTGGCTTCTGAGCAAAGAAGAAATTAAAGGGAGGCAAAGGTGAAGGCAGGGAGGTGATTGCTTTAGTATCAGTGGGCAATGAAGATGGGTTGAAGGAGATATAATGACAGCTGTGGGAATGAAAATGATTGCTGTAGAATAGCACTGTTTGATAGAACTTTCTGTGATAATGGAAATGTTCTATATCTGAGCAATTGAAATATAACCAGCATGCCTGTGGAACTCGCTGTTTTAAATTTATTTGATTTTAATTAATTTAAATTTAAATAACCACACATAGCTACTAGTTTCCCCATTGAACCATACAGCTCTAGAAAGGGACAGATTGTAGTCAAACTGATAGATCTTCACAAGTCCATGTTCTTAACCACAGCCCTGTAGTGCATCATTTAAAAGATGCAAAAGAGTAATTTTTGAGTTACTCCCTTTATAACTCTTCCTGGGTTTCCTGCTCCACTTCAGACAAAGAGGAGACTATCAGGAAAAAAAGGGAGTGCAAATAAAGCCACTCAACACTTTCCCACTGTTGATGTTTTGGAGCAGTTTGTGCTGCCTTGCAATTCTCCTCTAGATCATAGCATGTGTTATAAAAAAAGAAGGAGAAATACATTTGCTTTCTAGGAACACTTAGCTGTCCTGGTAATGTGTTTAGTACCAAATACCTGCTTTAAATTGTGAAGAGGTTGCATTTAAAACTGTCTCTTTCCAGTTGATTGTTAATTTATGGCATCATTATAAGTGAGGACAAATAGCTTCTCTGGGATGGCAGGAATGCAATTAGATTGTCACAGACTGTCAGTGGCTGTATTTGGGTGTGATTTTTAATGCATTCTTTATATAAGCATCTACTGCTAATAATAATAATAATAGAAACAGAACTTGCTCTTTTCTTTAAAGGAAGGGGAAGTAATTATGAGGGAGTTGTAACAAAGAAGGTACAGTAAGTATCAGGGTCTTCAAGATTCTCCTTGATTACTGCCTGCATTTAATAAGAGCCCACTAAATATTTTAAGTGAAAAAGAAAAAAAAATGAATAAAAAATAAAGGACTTTTAAAAAATAAAACTCTAGAATGAATATATTCAAATTGTGTTCTTTTCCTCACTTAATCTCATTGGTCACTACATACTTATTCCAATATTTCTCTCAAAATATGTTTGCAACTTTTTCTGGAAAATTGTCATCCTCCTATAGATAATTATTTAAGGGAAGACATAGTTGATTACCCAAGGTAGGGTCTTAGAGGCTCTGGAAACTTAGAAAATTGGTACTGAATGACCAGTGAACATCCACATAGTTCGAACCTCTCCCTGTATAGGTGAACAAATTGCATATGATAGAAATCTGTGCAACTGCCTTTAGAGTCTGTGACCTATTCTAAAAACCACTCCCTCTGATGATGAGTAATTAGTTTCATAAGCTTTGGAGAGAGCAAGCACTCAGCTGCATCATGTGGGTGAATAACGTGAGTTTTGATCAACTTGGGGGATGCTTTTCTTTGCTGAAAAATGCAATGTGACTATAAACACATAAAACAAACTCATAAACTGGAATGAAAAGAGATTTTCCAATGTTCTCTGAGACTAGGCAGTTCTGATGGGCTAAGTAAACATTGTTTGGAGGGAATCACTATAAAAGCAGAAAAAAATATTTAATTTTGTTTTCTGAAGACTTCATGTTGACAAAACTGAAACATCCTGGGGACTCTTGTCCCCAACCAGCAATGTCTGAGAGTTGTTCTGAAGAGAGACAGACTTAAGGAAGTCCAAGTGGTTTCAGCTATTCACTTTCTAGCAGTGTTCAGGGAAAATCCCTAACTCACCAATTCAGGAGAAGAGCTTTTGGTGATATTAGTTGACAATCAATAGTATTTATCTTATTGATTTCTTTTATAGACTTGTATTTTCCTGGATAGAGCTGGAACCCATTCTACTAAGTGAAGTATCCCAAGAATGGAAAAATAAGCACCACATGTACTTACCAGCAAATTGGTTTCACCGATCAATACTTAAGTGGACATATAGGAATAACATTTATCAGGCGCTGGGCAGATGGGAGGGGGGAGGAGGGTGTGGGTATATACACACATAATGAGTGCAATGTGCACCATCTGGGGGATGGACGCGCTTGAAGCTCTGACTCCAGGGGAGGGGGGGCAAGGTCAATATACATAACCTTAACATTTGTACCCCCACAATATGCTGAAACAAACAAAAATCTTTGACATTGAAGGAAAAAGAGGTTGACAAATACATAAGCTAGTTTCAATCATTTTTGAGCCTAAATTCTTCTCCAGGAAAAGGGAGAAATCGATGCTTCAAACATCATTGTTTGATCTTGGCCTGTTTTCACAATAACTTATTTCATGAATACCTGCTGAGTAACTGTGGTAAGTCAGGAACTGAGCCAGA